TAATTATATGCTTTTACTTTTCATAATTTTCTATATTAAAAGTATTTTCCAATAAACGTATATTGTTCTTATAAGCAGAAAATACATGTTATATTAAAAATAGAATAAATGYTCCCTTTGTAAAAGGATGTCACATTCATATAGGTATTAGCTACGGGAGTCAACGTTAATATAGTCATTCTCTACCCACTGCACGTACATCTTTCTCTCTCCTTCTCTGAGTTTGAGGTTACCCTTTTGAGAAATGAAGAATGCATTGTACAGTAATGTAAAAACATTGAGTACCCGGGACACTCCATATATCTTAGTTCTTTCCCCTTCACTGAACTCCAGAGGGCAGACATTTTCATTCCACACTGAAGACTCCAAAAATCCAAGAGTGATAACTCAAGGATGCTAAAGTGTATTCAGACTCTCTATCAGTACAGATCCAGGATGGGGGACCACTTTTTCCCTACTATGATAGTTGAGAGGGTGAGATGCTCGGGAGGGGATGGTACACACCAAGAACCAAGGAAAATGACCAAGGATGGGAATTTCATGGGGGCAAAAGGCTTTGTTTCTCTACAACAATTGAGACAAGGGGAGGAAAAAATCCTCAGAGCAATTCTGAGCCCACACCAGTGACCAGATGTACAATGCTGATGATTGGAATTATTTATATCATCTTCTTCCTGCATGCACAGGAATCCACTTCCTCATAGGTAAACTCACCCTTTCTCTTTTGCTCTTTTTGAAAAGGCTCTTTTYCCAGTTTTCTCTTTTTGCTACAGGAATTTTGATATCTGAAAGTAGACTAACGGTTTAGAAATTCTCTGCCAGTGGACATCCCATTTCATAACTGCCATGATGTGACTTACATGGAGTTCCAAGGGAACACAAGTACAGGTGTGTACCTGAGTATTAATTGATTTTGCTTTTAATATTAATGAGCCTATGATTTGGTCTAGTTGACCTTCAAATTCCAATTAGATACTGATTAAATAATAGGACAGGTAAATCAAGGTGTTTAAACAGCACCTTTCCCCCTCCTCAATAAAGTGACTTGGTCTTAGCAGTGGATGAAGATGCAAAAATAAGATCTAAAAGTGTAGATACAACTATAATAGAGAGTCCCGCTTGACTGAAGAAGGCTGACTATATCTTAAATAACAAGGATAACTTTGCAGAATTTCAACCAGAATACTTGATATTCCTATGCATTTTACTCCTGTATTTATATGGCCCTTTGTCTTTTTGCCTATTTTTTAAATTAAATAGGTTTGACAGTTGTATTTCTGATTTTTTTAAGGATTTAAAGTATAAAAACACCATGAAATTAATAGATTATTTTTGCTAGTAAAGGAAGAGTCCCTCAATATATAAATGCATGCCCTATTTGACAAATAACCTCAGAATGTCTATCAACATTATTGATATTTTCCCAGGTCACCTTTACCTGGGAGTTCATTTAGTTCCATTCTAGTTGCCACATCCTTGACWTCCACCCTGTGTGGATGAACTTTGGGTCAGCATGCCTCCTCCTCATATTTCATCCTCCCAACTCCTGCCCACCCTACAGTTGTAATGATTCATTGGGAACAGCTGTTTCCAGCATGTAGATGAAAATCTAGCTCCTGMTCCATAAGCCAATCAGTTGTACCTCCTGTTGCAGCTTGCAGTAAGCATTTATACAGAGTACGAGGGTGATGAATTCCAGTTCTTGGTTGCCAGAGGGAAATATGTCCTAAAATATTTGAACAAAATCACTGGCATAGCTGATGCCTGGGTTATAACACCTCCTATCAAAATTCTGCCACTTTCACATATGGCTTAATTTTTTAAAAAAAATCTTACCTCCTCCAAAATGAGACATTAGCCATTTCATTTTTTACTTGCTTGTTTTCAATCCCTGCACTCTGGAAGATKCTACTTTCCAGTGAAAATCAGTTATAATGATATAAAGCCAACCAATCAACAAGCAAAACTGGAAGTAACTGAACAAGTCTCAAATTCTATTGGAASGAGAAGACAAGGCCTATACACATGGGTGGATCCAAAGCCCAAGAAGATGCTCAGTCAGGATCAAAGTCTCAAAACAAAGTCAAGAGGACAAGGGCTCCTTCAGGACCTTTKATCAGCAAAAATGTTCTGCCACTTAAACTAGAAAGTTTAATAAGCATTTCTATAAGTGATCTTATAACTGCAGGGTTCTAAAATAGCCCTGGTGTCACTGAGGAGAGATATTTCTGCATGAAAGCTAATAATGGAGAATGTTTGAAATGAATCCTCAACACTTATGACTTCCTTTTAACCTCAGCTTGACCTCAATCTTGGAGGATTTCAATGGAGAACATTTTTTTTTCATTCTAAGCTATGCATCTATCTGTCAAGATGACAGTTCTGTACATATTAGACACTTGTTCTAGGCGTTATCTGATAATCAATTACAAAGTTGCCTTACATGTGTGCTATTTCAGAATAAAAAGACAAAAATCACCTATGTTCTATTTTTTTAATATTTATTTATTTATTTAGTTATTGGCAGACACAACATCTTTGTTGGTATGTGGTGCTGAGGATCGAACCTGGGCCGCACGCATGCCAGACGAGTGCGCTACCGCTTGAGCCACATCCCCAGCCCCCTATTTTTAATTGAAATTAGATTATCTACTCATGTGAATTCTAAACATTTTAATTTTTCCCCAATAAATAGGTTAGTGGACATTAATGATTGATTTCAGTAAAATCCTTAAAACTTCACAATTATTCTTAGGAGGGAACTGCATTTGTATACATAACAGAACTCTTTGATGGAGTTACCACCATTTAAAGTTTTAAGAAAAAAAAATCCCAAAAGTCTTCAAAAAAATTGATCCTGGCATGAGCAATTAATGGTGTGAGATCCTAAAAGCATCATGAAAAAAAAAATCACAAACTGTGTTTCTGCAAAGGTGTGGCATCTTCAAACTAAATAACTCAACAGGAAAAATCTCAGCTCCAGGTATTCAAATTAGATTATCTCTTCCTTGCTTTTTAAACTTGATCATTTGACTTCATGACACTTTAAAATTTTGATCATAAGCCAAATGATGGACATGTTCAAATTTTTCTGCTTAAAATGAACACCACTTTCTGTTTTTTTTTTTTATTTTTTTTTTTACTCTGACATGATCAGGGGTTTATTTCTTTGTCTCTGAACAATGACCTAGAGATTTTTTTTTTTTAACCAGAACCCCTGTGAATATCTGACATAAATGACATTTTTAGATATATCAAGTGGTTTTTAGACCAGGGATACCAGAACACAAATTTAAGTAGTAGAAAGGGTGGTATCAAGGGATTCATTTGAAAAGTGGCAACMAACAAGAAAGGAAGCATTTGAAATGACAAGAGCCTGGTGGATACTATATTGGGTCACTCAGATCCCACATCAGGAATGAAGAATTTATTCTCCCACATGTGGACAGATCTCATTCATCTCTGGTTTCCATAATGGCTGCAATGGAAGGATCTGTTTTCACTAAAATCCACACCCCTTTCCCAGGGCAGAAAGCATCAAATGCCTTGTCCATGGGAGGTTTGAATGGCCTGATTCTCTCACACCAAGTGTGCCGCATATCAGAGGGGTCATACTATTTTCAGACCTCCTCCAGTCAGCCAAGATTTCTTCTGATAATGCATTGTGAGTTAGCTTCTTCCTCTATCCAGCTCTGCTTTCTTCCTTTTCTTATTATAGGGGTGAATTTCTTCAAGAGCGCTCCCTAATGAACATCTGCTTCCTAATCTCCATCTCATTCTGTTTTCTTGAAGTCCAATCTACACAAGTGCCAGGTGAAGAGTCTAAGCAATTGAGGTGTATTATTGTATCATGTGCAGAAGACATCATTGTCTCCATTCTTCAGAGGAGAAAACTGGAGCTCAAAGGGTCTTATTACTGGTCAGTGCTTGATGCTTCCTTGTTAATGACTTGAATTATTTGTCAAATTATTTGTGTTGCCACTGGCAAACCAGAATTTAAGTCCCAGTCATTTGACTCCAAAATTCACACCCTGAGCAATTCTCTCACTTGATTTAGGTTAATTAATTCATCAGTTAATTTACCAGGCAAAAAAGTAAAATTGAATTAATGATGCAAATAAATAAGTGTTAAAATTTCAAGGCCACTTTGATTTTCTGAACATTGACTCAAAGAGTAGCAATATCAATGGCAAATATAGACCTATCTGAGGATCACCCCCAAATGAAGAAATGCATTTACCATACATATCTCAAAGTTCCAAATGGTCTACTAGACACCCATTTATACAAATATAACAATCTACTCTCGCTCACAGAATTGTTTTAGTAGTTACCTGTGACAGATATAAAATAATATTACCTTTCTATGTGGAGATGTGTCAGTCAGGAGGGAGAAGAAAGGACTATTTTATTTTCCTTGAGATAACTTTTTAAAGTGTTAACACCATGACATCAGTCTCTCCCTTATTTATTCCACTAATTTTTTCCTAGAAAAGTAAGATTTTTTGCCCTCTCTGGAGATACCTGGGTCAGCAATGTTTTCTCTTAGTGCTAGCATGAAGAGGTCAGCAATGTTTTCTCTTAGTGCTAGCATGAAGAGTGATGTTCTCGCCCAAGTTTTATTGCTAAGAATACCTTTCAAACATTTCTTTCTTGAATAGCAGAATCTCTGCTAGTTGGTCTGCAATTGCCACTCTTTCAAATTTGTTTCTGATGAGTAGCTGTAAATAGTAGAATTGACTAATTCTGGTGTTTTAAATAAACATCTCCTCTAACCATAATTTCTCTGATAATTATCTTAGAAGTGGTTATTTTTTTTTCCAGAGGAACAAATGTAAATGTGTATATAAATCTGAAGAGACTAGATATGGAATAAAACAGACATAGACGAGCTTGAAGAGAATTAGATTTGTTTGCTGCTTCATTTTTTTTGTATAAACAAAACACTAATAATCTACTTCTAAGAGTCTGATTTTTAGATGTAGTAAATGGCCTCATACCTTCATCTTTACAGACTTCAACTGTCTCTTCTGAAGCTGGGCTGGGCACAGTGGTATTGCTCACACCATCTGTAAAGCAGAAAAGGAAACATGGCCTCAGAGTTAATACTGTCAAACTGTGACTTTCTGGCTCCCTGCGTCTCCCTCCACATTCCACCAAAGGAAGTATGAGCTTCTTTCATACTGTAATGCACTGAATGGTCTTTGAAGGGTCCAGGGGGCTGCGATCCTTTTTCATAATTAATACAACAGAAACCTTCAGTTAAAGACAGAGACCAATGGACTAAAACCTATTTTTTGGTGAAGAATGCTATTTGTTGGTAGTAGCATACCAACCATGGTAGCATTTTACTTCCTTTAGAGTTCTCAAAGAATGGAATATAATTTTTCTTGGTAACAGATGGCGAAAGAAAGTATATCCCAGCAAGGTTCTATGAAGGGCCTTTAAATGTGTTTTCTTCCTCTTTGCATAGCTCTTCGGCGGGTTACCAGTATGCCAGGCTACCATACTGCAGAGAATAATTTTCTCGCTGTCATTGTGGAGACTAGGGAAAAGGGACCAGAGGTCATTTGGAAATTTAGAGGAAGGTAAGCAGAAGCGATTTGGCTTCATGTCATTCAAGCACAGAATGTGGACCAAGGATGTAGAGGTAGGTCCCTGTCCCCCCACCCCCCCAACAGCACCAATTAACCTCCTCCCAGTTGACTTTCTTCTTAGTATCATCAGCATCACAGGCACTCTGTTCATGTTTGGCACCAAGAACAATAACTGGCTGCTAACATCAAAATATATATTTAAGACATGAAAGATTATTAAATTCATTTGGAATGGTTAATACCTGAAAACTGGAAAAAGTGTGTGTATATTCATATATATGTACATGTTTACATATGCTTATGAATACACACACATATAAATATACATACACACTGATGTATGTATGTTTTCTTAAAATAACATGGTCAGAGAACTAAAGACAATCATATTTTCATGACAAACAACACACATTTGGAGGCAAATCCCTTATTTTCTAGCATATCTTTTGTCCATAATATATGTGACTATTACATTTAGGTTATGCCTCTACTGGAACAGAGAATAAAGTATTTAGTAGGAGGATAGTTGGAGAGAATAAA